ATGCCAGGAGCCCCTAGTAGCGTCCTTGCTCCTAGTAGCGATGCCAGGAGCCCCTAGTAGCATCCTTGCTCCTGGTAGCAGCGATGCCAGGAGCCCCTAGTAGCGCGTAGTCTCTGGTAGGACAGGAGTTACATCTTGCGATTCCTCGCTGTTGCGTAGGGCCTGCGGAGGGAAGTCTCTGTGGCGGGCAAGGTCGCGACAGAACGCGGAACAGACGGTCGGTCCGGATGGGATGCGAGATCCGATCCCATCTGTGGCGAAAATAGACACAAGAAAAAGGAATAAGGGAAATGGTAGGCAAAAAGGCCCCGTGCACGGTGTGCAAAGATGCGCAAGAACCAAAAATAGACTCCACCAGCCCCAACCCAGAGATCTACATTGACCTCGCTTGCAGCCAAGGTGCTGTCGTGACAACCTTTGGCTTCTGGGCTTCGGTCTTCCCCATTCGTCGAGAGCTTGTCACCTTTCATCGCTGAAGAGCACCAATTCGGGAAAGCACCCTTTGGGCAGGGCAACGGATGGTGCGCGCGGACACCCCGAAAAAGCTGTGCGAGGCAGCAAGCTTGAAATCCTTCATCCATCTTCATCCTCCAAACAGCGGGGCAAAGCTACAGAACATGGGCTGAAGAAAAGAGGAACACGTCGATCTTCGATCCCATGCACGATGTTTCGCTCACCCATTTCGATCCCATGCACGTCATGCCGAACATGTCTCATCACCGGTCTTCCCCAGAGAGTGAGTGAGTTCAACCTCCTCAGACCTCCCCTCACGACGTTCAGCCCGCTGGCAGTAGCGGTACATCACCGCTGGAGTGAGTTTCGCAGCGACCGGATAGCACAGTGGGGTCTCCACCTGGCGGGTCGACTGAGGTCAACCGGACACCAGGCTACCTCGGTCCCCCATTTTTGGGCGGTTTGGACAGGAAAAGACTCATTGAACTACATTGACATCATAAAGTAGAGAGATCCATCTATATAAATCCATCAAGCATCAACTGTCCCAACTCTGATTTGTTCAGTGTACACATATTGGCCGTGCAGAGCGTGCCAGCTTGGTAGCTTGGAAGGGACGTGGAACAGCCTTTTGTGGCATGGAGATGTAGAGCCCTAGGTCTTTTTCTGCAAAAAAAATGATATCCTATGTGCAAAAACACATGGTGCCCCCTTGTCAGATGCAAGCAACACCTGCTGCAAGGGCCTCGCACATGGCGCCTTTTCGTTGAACTACCACGGCTTGCTCCTTGTGTCCCTGGCACTTGCCTGAATGCATCTTCTGCGGCACAACTTTCTGGGTTTGAGGAGACTGTTGAAAAAGCACAACTCAGTTGTGCACTCTGCCTTAAAGGCACTACGGTCACTACACTAAAGGCACTACTGTCGTAGTCTACTATATAAGGGTTTACAAGACCATGGCACTGTCAGAGATGTATTGGTAACATTGCAAATTACTGCAACGAAGGTGGACATGCATTTGATTGCACCAGCTTCGATGGGACGACACTGGTTCAAGCAAGAAGTCGCGCCTGCCGCACCAATGGCAAGTCACATCTTGTTGATCAACATCGCATGAGGACTATACTTTCCCATTCTGAAAATCCCAGGGTCAGGCTTCCCGTATCCTCAATCACCATGCTTTCCATTGCGTTCCTTTTCCTCATAGGGCTCAAAGTTACAGCACATTGTTGAGTTTAGTGTGCCCCAGAACCTATACAGTTCACATCAGTTCACTGTAAACGCTTCAAACAGTGCCTTTTTCCTCTTCCCATGACCCGGTCCTCTTCGGGCCACGCGGTCCACGCGGTCGGACCTCGCCTCCGGGCTCGAAGCACTGCTTCTCTTTGTCCCAGGCCTGGGAGTTCGCACGGTGACGACATGGAGAAAGGAGGTGGAAATACGGTGAGTTGAACAAGCTGGTCTTGTGTAGGGCTATTAGCTGTTTGGAATCGGGAGGTGTGGGGTCTGCATGAAAAAAGACAGAAAAGAAAACACAACTCAAAGCTGCTTGGCCATCGAATTCGCTTGTCCACAAGCAACGGATTCCAACAAATTCCTGGAGAATGATACAAATATGATACAAATAGCTTCCATGATTCCTCGGATGACCAAGGTGATCTCAGTGTCGTGTCTGCTGAAGTCGTCCGACTTTCAGGGGAATCCGAGTCA